TGTTGTTCAGCATCTTAGCTATAGAGGGCAGTGTCACTGGCCCTCATATGTGGGATCCGAACCGGGGCCCTCTGGCATCCCAAGCGAGTTCTTAACCATCTCGCCACTCGGCCAGCCCTCAATTGCTTTTAATTAGCGCAATTTCCTCTCCAACTATCCTTCCTTGGCTATTTTTTTTCTTAGATTCCCATTCCAATGTTTTGATTGTTAAAATGTGTTTTAAGACCACTAGGACGCCTAAAACTAAATTTTATGGGACTATGTATTTGACAAAATTATCAGACAATGTCTTCCTCCTCAAATGATTTTGTTTTGCAATTTTTCTTAATTAAGTGCATTATACATCTATTATGCCCCAAATAATTAACTAGATGTCTCAGCATGCGCTTCAAATCACAGTTATAACTTTCTATGGGCCTCATCTCTCAGCTCTCTGGGGGATCTGTCTGCAGAAACCCCTCAACTACATCCTGGCTCTTAAAGCTCATGGCTCTGTTTTGATTCGTCCCCTCAGAGACGTTGCATGATGAACGGGGATCTGATGAGATCCACTAGGCTAACAGCATTTGGTCAGCCCTTGTCAATTTCTTTAGTGACATTCTAACATGCCAATCACAGAGTGAAGCATTAAACTTATCACTTTTGAGCTCATGAAAATCTTCATATGAACATTTTTAATATAAGTTTACCATTTCACCATTTTTTCCCAAGTTTGACTTTTCCTCTGAAACTGTTACATGATAAAAAGCAGGACGTGTGAGCTATCCCTTTTTGTCAGCATTTCTATCATAGGTTCCAAGGTTAATGTAAGGTCTGGAAAGACAGCCAGGATAATTTATGTGGGACACTGGGAAGGAATCTTATTCTAATGACACATATTGTCATATTTTTACTCCAAGTGAAACAGAGATAACAAAAAGAAAAATCCTGACCTTATCCTTTATAAATATACAATATTGCAAAAAAAAAAGAAAGAAAAGAAAAAAGGGAAGAAAGAAAAGAAATTAACTCAAGAAAAGATAAGAATAGGTAAGATATCTTTATAATTGCCATAAGACATATACATTTTTAGATCAGGTTTTAGAGAGAAAAGGGGTTTTGAATTGGAGGAAGACAACTAGAATTATCTGAATTGTTCCCTAAATTCTCTTATCCCATTAGCAAGAATATCATTATGTTTGTGCATTGTTACAACTGAAGCACTCTTATGACAGTGCCCTGAATGTTAATTAAAATATCTATTATTAGGTATATAACCATGGCGGCAGCTTATATGGACTGTGCCCAAACTGCGCTGGACCTGCTCAGATCAGCTGTGTGATTTTAGGCAACCATTCATCCTCTCTGAGCCCAGCAGAAGGAGAATTCCTTAAGAGCAGGAGCTGTGTTCAGCACTGGGTCCTCAGATCCAGCTTAAACTAGGAGACAGTTATATTTCCTATGCTGAATGAAGGAATGAACTCCAGTTTCCTGATATGGGAAGTGGAGATAATCATAACCAACCACCTGCTTTACCCACCTCTTGAGACTGTTACAAGGATCCAGTGATAGAATATATTTTATGAACCTAATGAATCCATTAATTATGGCATCAATGAATACATTATTCACGGGTGGTATTAATGTTAAGATGGCATAGCAGTTATTCTTAACCAGTGCTTCTCCAACTGGAAGTTGAGGGGAGCAGTCCCGATATGTGAATCCGAAATGGACAACAGCTACATCTCACCTGTCTTACTGTTTTTCCAAACCCCAGTCTGTCTCCTGGTGCATCCTATCTAGAATATATCAGAATATCACCTTGTCACACTCCTCATTAGACCCTCTAGGTCTCCTGCCATTGCCTGTCCCTACTCCCAGCCTCGGTGGGAGTTGCTAAACCACAGATTCTGTAAAAACCTGGTCATGTCTGGAAGAAGTGCAAAGGTGGTGATGGGGTGGGGGTGGGGTGGAGGGGCGTGGCAGATTCTGTCTCTGTCCCTCAACACTTTCTCTACTTAGTAGAACCAGAAAGGGAAGGGGGATGTCACAAAGACTGGAGAGGGTTCCAAGCCATGGCCTCCCTGCTAGCAGGACCAGGGCCTCCCAGAAAGAAAAAACAAGCTCTTTTAATCATGTGGGGACACCCAGTAGTGGAGGCAAAGTGACACTCCCAGGAAAAGTAGACCAAGGCAAAATGATGTGCACTTCAGCCATCAATTTCCCTTTTTTTCTGATTTTCATGAAACACATGCCCAAGGTGGTGAACACAGAACTGTATGGTAGAAAATACCTCCAAACCCCTCTCAGCTACACTAATGTTTTGTATTTTTACATAAAAGACAAACTCCTAGTGTTTTTATAATTTATAATTCTTCCTCAGAAGAAAAAACAAAGTCAAATGTTATTTTTAAACCATCAAGTCATTCTAGTATAATAATATAGTAATAACTAGTTAATAACAAATAATAATAATTATTATTATTATTATTCACTAATAAGTAATTAGTTTCCTGGACAATGAAAACACATGTAAATAAGTTTTGCCATAGAGCATTTTGCTTTAGAGAGTGGGGGATATAGAACTGTTTCTTTGAGGAAGAAGCCAGAGCTATTTTTTTTAAATCAAACAAATTATTATTTTTAAATCAAACAACATTACGAATCTGGTTTTCTAAAAGAGATACTCCAAACAGAGTTGTGAAGTTAAACACCCTCAGTTTTTGATTGGATCGTTTCTGAAGTAAGCAGCAGGGTCCCGGAAGACACCATCCGATCTCTCCTTCCAGCTGTCAGAGCATCCCTAACTGTGGAATTATTTTGTTTCTTTTCTTTTCAAAATCTTCCCTTCCCTCTCCCCTTCAGGAAAACACACCCAGCGCTATTCCCACCCTGGCCACTTCCCAGTAGAGGACCAAGGCCAGCTCCCCAACTTGTGAACGTGCAACAGGTTTCCTGTTTACCCCCACCCCGCGCCTGGCCAGGCTGCACCAGGCTTGATTCGGGAAATCAAAGAATTAGAGATTCCGAGAATGTATGGCGGAGAAATCTGTGGAGAAGGCAGAACAACACCGAAAAAAACAGTAAGCGCCCTTGTCACTTTCAAGCAAGAGGAACCTACCTGGCTCGTTGAAATTAACTTTTTCCTAGAAACGTTTAGAGACTGAAATAGGGTAGAAGAAACAGAAAGGAGGGCAGTTTGCAGCGTCCCATTCACACGTATTGTGCTCTATTGTTCATAAAGAAAGATAGTAGGAAAGAGAGAGGGAGAGAGACAGACACAGAGTCAGGGAGACATACAGAAAAAAAGACAGAGGAGAGAAGAAAGAGGGAGAGAGTATGAATGAAAGGCCTGTGTCAGTGCAAAGGTCCTGCAGCCAAAGCTCCAAGGAAGCGGAAAGGACTGGACCTGCGTTCCCGGGCGGGCTGGGACCCGTGGGCGCCGGGGGAAGCCTGTGGATGTGCAGCCGCGCTCACCTGTGGTGTCCAGCAAGGCCAGGGGCCCCGGCACCGGCAGCGCCGGCTGCTGCATCCCCGGCCTGCGCCTCCCCGAGGCTGCTCTTCCGCGGCGCGCCAGGTGGCTGCTCCTCGGCGACAGCGCGTGAGGTCGGCTCTCCGGGTGCGACAGCGACAGTCAAGGTGCGCGGTGGCCGCAGAATCTGCCGCCCGAGAGCGCCGCCCCTTTTCTCCTTCTCCTCCGCCTCTTGTCTCCTCATCAGTCGGCCTCCTTGCCACGCGCTCCCTTCCCTCCCGCTGCCCCCTCCTCTGCCCGCTCTTTTCTCCCCCCACGCCATCCCCTCCTCTCTCCCTCCGCCCTGCCCCATTCTTTCTCTTTCCGCAGCCTCCTTCCCTGGTCTGCCCCCCAAACCCTCCTGCTCCCTTCTCCTTACCCTGCTCCCCTTCTTCCCTCTCCCCAGCCCTCCAGCTGCCTCTGGTTTTCCTGGAAATCTGACGCTCAGTTGCGAGGCCTGGAGCAAGAGACAGACCCAGGATGGCGTATACTTCTGGATTTCTGGTCTGTGCCCACCACCGCGACCAGTGTAGAAGTACATTCAGAAGTAAGTGGTTGTCATGGAGACACCTATTCACCCATTTGTCTGAGTTGAAAAATAATTCATAACACTTGCTGACAGAAAGCAAGTCTGATTTGGTTGGTTGCTTTGAAAATAAGTACTGGCTCTGCCAATTAGGGTACATTTGTGTATTTAATAAAGTACAGCATGCACTGTTCTAAGTGCTCAGTTCAAAGCCCTTCCTCGTGTAGCCTTCACAACAGTCCTACAAGTTAGATGCTGCTGTTATCACCCTTTTAGGATCAGGAAACTGAGGCTCAGGGAGGCCAAGTAAGTAGGCCAAGTACGTAGCTCAGGCTGGCTGAGCTCATGTCTACCAACCTATGCTACAGTGTGTTCCAGAACTGATGGTTTTGATCTGTAGTTCCAAAGCTTTGCTGAAAACATATTTTTAAAATATGTGTGTGTTGGGCCGGCCGAGTGGCTCAGCTGGTTAAGAGCTCGCTTGGGACGCCAGCTCTGAGCAGCAGGGCCACAGTTCAGATCCCACATTGAGGGCCAGTGACGCTGCACCCTCTACAGCTAAGATGGTGAACAACAGCTCAACCTGGAGCTGGGCTGCCGTGAGTCACCTGGGATGGCATAGGCTGCAGCCCCTGCTGCAGTGGGCTGCCATAAGCTACGGAGAGTGGCTGGCAGCCAGTGTGAGCAGCTGTCCAGAAGCTGGAGACCAATCTGCCTCATCCGGGAAGAGCGCAATGATAATACCAACATGGACCAGTGAAGCGACATCCTCCACAACTAGACTGAAGAACAAAAGGACTTGTCTGTTCCCCTTCCCCCGATTCCCCAGCACTGTTCCCCTCCCCCGATTCTCCAATAAAATATTTAAAAAGAAAATATGTGTGTGTTGCCAGAAATGGTATTCTTTCCTCACTAATAAATTTATCACAGAAAATTTTAGATGCAAACTTGAAATTTTCTAAAGTTTCTTTCAGGGCTACGTGAGCAAAGAATCGCAAAAAGCACAGCTCTAAAGGGACATGGCAGGTGTAAGTGTGCTGCTCCAGGAGACGAGTGGCCCCACCTCACAAAAACATCATGTCACCCTCTGACAATATCAGTATCATTCCTTTTACAGATGAGAAAACTGAGGCCGCAGGAGGTTAATTTGTACAACTGAGCAGATCCAGAATTCCTGCAGAGCCTGTGGTGGGTTTTTTTGGTTTCTTTTTGGAGGGGGGGGGGTGTTTAAAGATTTTTATTGGGAATTTGGGGGATGGGAACAGTGCTGGGGAATTGGGGGAAGGGGAACAGACAAGTTGCTGTCGTTTTGTTCTTCAGTCTAGTTGTGGAGGACGTTGCTTCACTGGCCCAAGTTGGCACCATCATTGCGCTCTTCTCAGGCGAGGCAGATCAGTCACCGGCTTCTGGATGGCCGCTCACGGCGGCTGCTGGCCACTCACGCTGGTTGCTGGCTACACACGGTAGCCCATCTACACACGGTAGCCCATGGCAACCCACTGCCACAGGGACTGCAGCCTACGCCGTCGCCGGTGACTGACTCATGGAAGCCCAGCTCCAGGTTGAGCTGTTGTTCAGCATCTTAACTGTGGAGGGCAGTATCACTGGCCCTCATATGTGGGATCCAAATCGGGGTCCTCTGGCATCCCAAGCCAGTTCTTAACCATCGCACCACTCTGCCAGCCCGTGTTTTAATTGTAGGGAGGGACTTTGGTTAGAATTCATTTCTTAGAACCCCTCCCCTCTCCCAGGAGCCTAAGCAGGACAATCACTGAGTGCATGAGGTGCATTGGATCTTGTGCCAATTATACCAACTGACAACTAGTATGCCTCGCCCCAGGCTGACACAGGAGGCCTCTAGCAAGCTGAATTCTGCAGGGAGCAATAGTCTGGTATCAGGGTATTTTTAACATGTAATTTAATTTAGCTCTTGCAAAGGCAATTATGAGAAGATGAGGAAATCTGTCTTCCACCAGTCTGAGGATAATCAGAGAGACTGGACAAATTATTATTGACGTTAAGAAAATAAACTTATTAAAACAGTTATGATAAATGCATGCTGTCCTCCTTAATACCAAATTCATCCTGCTTTGAGTAAATGTTTAAAGTATCCTGGGACTTCCTTTATATGAACAGAGGTCCCAAAGGGTCCCAGAAAAACCCAAGTCTCCTCAGTCTCTTACCCAAAAATGTTGAGTCTAGCTGGATTCATCCTTCAGATGGTGTGGGCGAGTTGGGGGTAGGGGAATAGGATTAACACTAATTGAGCACCTACAGTATGCCTCACATTGTGATCACCACTTTTCAAGTGCTGCCTTATTTAATTCATGCAATACTATACCCATTTCATAGATAAAGAAACTGAGATACCAAGAATTTAAATAATTTTTCCAAAGTAAAATAGCTGATAAATGGTAAAAACAAGATCTAAACCAGGTCAGTCCAATGTCAAAGCATAATTACATCTTCTGAATGGAAAACACGTATTTACCTCACTATAGACTGCCTGACTATATTAATTTAACCTTTCATTCATGCAGCTGACAAATATTTACTGCATTTATTCTATATGCAAGATACTAAGAGAGCTTCAAAAATGAATCATACAAACCTGCCTTTTAAGAACTTTACAGTTAAACAATATTGCCACAGGGATATGAAAGACAGTTCAGAGAATATAATTAACAATGTTGTAAATATTTTGTAGGGTGTCAGATGGTCACATGTCTTGTTAGGGAGACCACTTCATGGATAGGGTAGAGGCTTGATCACTGCACTGTACATCTGAAGCTGATGTTGTGTAATATTGTATGTCAACTATAATTGAATATACTGGGTTGTCGGAAAAGTGATGACGCATTTTTGCAACAGAAGGTGCTATTTCATCTTTGGAAGTAGTAGAGTCACTCGCATCTATGTTATTGCTATGTCATTTGACAGCTGACAGTTATAGCTACATTCTAAAAAAAATTTGAGCCATTTGGTTGAGTTTTGGAGATTTTACAACAAGTTGAAGATGGAAGACCAAACTATACATTTTTGCCATATTTTACTGTTTTACTTCTGTAAAGGGAAGAACGCGTGTCAAATTTGTGAAAAGTTGCATAAAGTTTACGGTGACAGTGCTCTACAAGAACGTCAGTGTCAATGATGGTTCACGAAATTCTGTGCTGATGATTTTGATCTCAACAATGCCCCATGGTCAGGGAGGCCCACCGAGGTTGATGACAACAAAATAAAGGCATTGATCAAGTCAAACCCATGATACACAACATGAAAGATTGCAGAAACACTGAACATCCATCATTCAAGCATTCATGACCACCTGAAGAAGCTGGGATATGTAAGCAAGCTTGATATTTGGATTCTGAATGAACTCAAAGAAGTTCATTTGACGGCGTGTATAAACATCAGCAATATGCTCATTAAAAGTGAAGTAAATGATCCTTTTTTAAGTGACTGACAACTGGTGATGAGAAGTAGATTGTTTACAACAATGTGGTGTGCAAACGGTCTTGGTCCCGACGTGATGATTTGCCTCAAACGACATCAAAAGCAGACATTCATTAAGGGAGGTTATGCTCTCAGTGTGGTGTGATTTTATAGGTGTCATGTTTTTTGAGCTCCTACCAAGGAACCAAACAATCAATTTGAATGTGTACTATAGGCAAGAGGACAGTTTGAATGAATTCGTCATCCAGAAACGTCCAGAGCTTGTTAATTGTAAAGGAGTTGTGTTCCATTGCGGCAACACGAGACCACACACAAGTTTGATCACCCGTCAAAAATTATTGGAGCTTGGATGGGATGTGTTGCCACACCCACCGTACTCGCCTACCTTGCACCGTCAGACTTCCACTTGTCTCGCTCTCTTCAAAACTCCTTGCATGTTATAATGTTCAATTCAGATGAAGCTACAAATCAGCACCTTGTTCAGTTTTTCGCTGATAAGGACAGGACCTTCTATGAACGAGGAATTATGAAACTCACTGAAAGATGGCAAAAGGCTATCAAACAAAACGGGCAATATATTATTGATTGATCTTTGTTCTTTATATAAATAAATGACCTTTGAGAAACAGACAAAATATGTTATGACTTTTCTGACAATCCTATATATATATAGTTACGAGATGTGGAGTATAGTGCAGGAGTGGAGTCAATGGAATTGTTTTTTGTTTTGTTATTTTAGATTTTTTTATTGGGGAATTGGGGGAGGGGAACAGCGCTGGGGAATTGGGGGAAGTTGAAAAGACAAGTTGCTGTCCTTTTGTTCTTCAATCTAGTTGTGGAGGATGTTGCTTCACTGGCCCATGTTGGCATCATCATTGTGCTCTTCCCGGGTGAGGCAGATCGGTTGCTGGCCTCTGGATGGCTGCTCACGGTGGCTCTTGGCAGCACATATTGGCTGCCGGCCGCTCATGCTGGCTGCCGGCCACACACGGTAGCTTATGGCAGCCCACTGCAGCTTCACTGCAGCCTATGCCATCGCCGGTGACTCACGGCAGCCCAGCTCTAGGTCGACCTGTTGTTCACCATTTTAGCTATACAGGGCAGTGTCACTGGCCCTCATGTAGGATCCAAACCGGGGCCCTGCTGCTCAGAGCCGGCGTCCCAAGCCAGCTCTTAACCAATGCCCCACTCAGCCGGCCC